AGGGAGAATCGGGAAAAGAAAGATGTGGCAGCTTAGCCACATGGGGTGGGTAAAACGTGGCGTCCGACCCGGAAGGAATTTTATTGCCGTACGGGGGCGAAACTATATCCGGCTGGAACGGTTGGACGCTTAGTGAATCGTCGAAAAGGTTGTCCATGGTCACGGATTTACCGGCGAAATTCGATTTATGTCTGGAAAGTTCGATCGTCGCCCCTTTGACGACGCTGCCTTACGAGGGTAATCGAGCAGTCGTTAGTTTCGATTAAATCGAACGCGATAGGTGTCGACCAGTGGCTCGAGGAAAGGTCTTTGATACGTGCCGGAGTGGAGCAGAGGGATGAAAAGAGGAGGAAAGGCAAAACGAAAAACGGGGGGAAAAAGGAAACACGAGAGGGAAGATTAAACGGCAGGCATTTCTCGCGTCGCCTTTGAGAACAAAATCATGGAAGGTTTTAACCCTCGAAGGAGAAAGGAATAATGGAGGATGGAAAAAGTGACGGCTCAGGGGTGTCACGACGAGAGGTGGATGCGACGGTGGTCGCGGAGCGAAGAGGCATCGCGACGTGACGGAAGTGGCGTGTCGAAGGGATCGGCTCGATAATGAGAGGGAAAAAGAGAAAAAGAGCGACGGTGGGATCGTGCGGAGCAAACAAATAATTGGATGGATGAAACGGGATGAACTTTTCTAATTATTCGTGCGGTTGCGTGTTCCTCGTTCGCGCTGCTTCGCGGATTAATTCTTTTTATTCCGATTCGTCGAGCTGGCGAGCGATTAACCCCTTTCGTTGCGCGTCGAGCTTCTCGTTGAAAATTTCCAGACGCGCTTTATAGCCGTTCGAACCGAAAGAGAGTTCGAGAGAAAGGTGACACCGGTGATAGAGGTGGTTACCTACCGGCGTAGCACGGGAAAGACAAAGGTGAAAGCGTCGAACAAGGGGCGCAATTGCAGAGACGATCCTGAGAAGGACGAACGAGACGAGACGATCAAGTATGTCTTATAAAGAAAAGCGAGAAACTGGCTGAGTATTTCTTTTTGCCTGTTGTGCCTTTGTGCTCTAAATCTAAAATATCTCGTGCCTTTAAATCATAAGAGACATAGAAAATTTATGATAGAAGACTAAAGGGAGAAAAATATCGAAAAATTGACCAATGACGTCGTCGACTCAGCGGAATTATCGCAACGCAAGAATATTTACGCATCTACCAATATTAAAAGGATTATCATTTGATCCTTGATAATACATACACGGATAATATTGTTCTAACAAGAAATTGCCACAAATTTATAGGCTGAAATTGTGCTTCAGACAGCCATATTTATCTTTCTTTTTTGGTTCCTCCTGTAATACTCGTCTTTACGAGTACCACTCCGTTTCGAATGCATTACTATGCCTGTTTATATCGGGCTCTCGCTCGTAACTTCCGATAATCGTATTTTACTTTATTTTTACTCTATTTATTTAAGAACGGACGACAGTTTTCTGTATACCATGCAAGCACAGAGAAAGCAGCGAAAAGGAGAAAAAATACCAAGCTCACAGACACGAAAACCACGCAAGCTCGCGTAGGTAGCCATGATTAGAGTAAATGTTATAAACCAATAATCCCCCGCAGTTCGTGACTTTTAACCCTTAGAATTTTTCACAAAAATACGGCTTCTCGAAGTGTCGTATCCCTCGTCACCTGTTACCCGGCACAAAAGGCAAGGGGGGAACCGAACGACATAACCACCCCGCTGCGAAGCATCACCCTCGACAAACACCCTCTGTTAGGACAACAATCAGCCGCATCGACATCTGCAAATTCAGTTACGACCTAGCTTCAACCTTAATCCGTGGCCCCGAAACTATCACCCCTGCTGCGACCAAACATCCTCATGCTCGAGGTGTCTGTACCCGCAGGGTAGATCATCCCTATGACTTCTCTCGGGGAAAACTGTCCCGGTTGCCTACCCGAGGGCGAGTAGCACTCGCGACGATACGAACGAACTAGGAGACGAACCGAACGACGATAAGAACGGGAACCGATGAGGGAACAGAAGAAAGAGAAAGAGAGAGAGAGAGAGAAAGGAACGCGAGAACGACGAGAGGAGGATAAGGTTAGAAAAAGAGGGAAATGGAGAAACGGTGAAAGGAAGGGAGAAAGAATGATCGAGGAGCGGTAAGATGGAAGGAGAGAGAGCGAGAGAGAGTAGCGAGAGGGCGACGTAGCGGGTCGACAGGAGGGTTCGGAGCGGCGTGGAGAGTGAGAGGAGGGAGCTCGGCGAGAGGTGGAGGTTTGGAATGGTTCAGTTGTAGCGGCACCGCGGCTCAGGTCGCACGCGTGTCTCCGTTTTCGCGTGGTTCGCGTGTCGTTCGCGCGTGTACCGATCGCTTCGTCCCGCTCGCTCCTTCGCTCGCTTCGTCGCGATCGTCCCCTCTCCGAGCCGACGCCGCGCGTCCGCCACTAGCACGAGACCGCCGCGTGACGTCTGACCAAGCACGCGGCTCTTCCACTCGCGCGGAGCGCGCCACTTGCGCCGATTCGCAGTCCTCGCGTTGTTTCGATCGCGATGCGGAGTTTCCGCTTCGAGTGCGTCGGCCGTCGATGGATCGTCTCGTCGATGCGACCGTCCTGCCGAACAAGGTGAACGACCGAGGATGAGGAGTTGGAAAAATCGCGAATAGATCGATAGAACAAGACGACTGTGCTGTGCGGTACGTTGTCCAGGAGATCGGCAGTGGAGTCACGAAGCAGCTGAACGGTGAAAAGGATAATCCTGGGATGGTTATTAATAAGGAGTGACCTAGCCACGGGAACAGGAAATGCTGGATCGAAGCGACAGTGGCGCGCGGATAATTCGGGATAAAGTATAAATAAACAGCATTGACCAAAGTTGCATAATCTTCGCCGCAAAGAGACAGCAGGGGAGGCCGGGTAGATGACACCTGTGCGAGCGTAGCCGTGGATGCGTGAAAGGATCGACGAATGAGCGTGGCTGGATCCCGATGATCAGTGAACGCGTGCCGATCGATCGTGGTATGAAAAGGTGCGCGCCGTGCGCGTGCCGGCTTCGCGAGAGTGCCGGCGCGCCGGTGCACGAGCGGGCAAACTGAATTTAACGTTATGGTAACGCGAATCGATCGCGGGATACCCACACCCACGACATCGCGATCTTCCATGTCCGTGCATGCACGTAACGCCGGCCATCGCGAGAGCTGCGCGAAGAAGGAGAGAAGGTAATCGAACTATCGGCCCGAGTTATCATTCTCTCCTCTCCGCCGCGCCGGAATTTCCAGCTAAATTACCCCGGAAGAAACTCCCTCGACTTTCCATTCGCGATAACATCCCGGACTTCCGTGCACGAATTCCAGTGACTCGATTAGCACGAAATTTGCCGCGCGTGCACTCCTCGCTCGCGAGATCCATCTCGCGAGATCGATCCAACGCAGCGGTTAGACCTTGCGTTTACCATCACCCGCTGGTACCCTCGCGACGAACGCTCATCGATACGCAACTGGGTACATTCGTGAACAGCGGTCACCCCAAAGATCAATTCTCCGAAAGCTTTTCGACCAACCAGGGAATCTTCGAGTGAACGTTGACGATCAGAAATGAAATGGATCACGCTCGACCGTTCAATCACGACGACCACGTAACCGGCACCGATGCTTTCAGCCGAGTTTCCGAAGTTGCCTTATATTCGCGTGCGTTCCTTTAACGGCGTCGCTTTGGAGCACGAGAGAAGGCAATAAATCGTTGCACGCGTAACACGTACTCCGTGGAACTGCATGAGAAAGATTCGGAATCAGAAGAACCGGTTGCCCAACGTCTATGATCCCGTGAGGTCGTTTACTCGCCGGGGTTAACTAGTAATCGTGACCGAGAGGTCAGTGTTCGTGGCATAAATTTCCGCACCTAGGGAAACCCTATTACAGCCACGCGCGGCTTGGGACATTGTCCAAGGTGCAAAGAAGAGAGGAAGAAAGGAAATAACGAGGGAAGTTGGTCTGTTTGTTCGAACGACAAAGCTGTCGGTACCCTGGAATCCGTAGATTTGCTTGGGAAGGTGAGGAAAAGCGACATCGATGGTCCGCGTAACGAGAGCCTAGCGCGTCGTTGGCGCGTCGAAGAGACTGCGGAATCCACAGGTCGATAAATTCGAGATCAACGACTCGGACTTTGGGAAGCGACCGAAAGTTGGTCGAGGCTGGAATCGTCTGTCGGAGGGAGCAATTGGTCGAGAGAAAAATTGAACAAACCGCGTGGGACGATGGTGGAGAGAATCCTTGGCTGAACGGTGTCGTGACAGAGACTCCGGTAGCACCGGAAGTTGGAGAATTTTCCGCATTCGTGGCGAGTTGATTGGACGACGAATCGAGGCGATCGGTGAAGAGCAAGCTGCGACAATTGTTCCTGGATCGATCGGTGGAAGGTAATTTAAAGGGTTTCGGCGTAATTTAAAGAACCCGGACGTAAACGAGCCCTGAACGGGACGCGACACGCGTCGGGGGGAAAGTTTCCACGGCGAGGAGGGACAGGGCGATGCCGGTAATCCGAGACCCTTCGCTGGAAATCAACACGGCTGAAAGCAATTCCAGAAGATAAACAAGTTCAGTGGGAAGCACCGGATGCACTGATTGTCATTGAAGTTGATCAAACCTCGGAGTAGTTTAATGGCCACGATATCGGCTTAACGGACGAAGCTCGTCTCTGCGATATACCCTATAGGAAAATCGCTATAGTTGCAAGCCTTATCTTCCGATAAAGCACACCGTTCGAAGAAATTACGTTGGACGAAGACGAAGAAAGGTGAAGAGGTACGAGGAACGATAGACGGAATTGACATAGTCAAAGAGGAAATGCAATCAAAGATTCGAGAGGCCGCCGAAGAAAGTGACACGTGAAACGCTGTAATCCGAGCTGGAATAGAGACAAGCACGCAACAGTGTGCCCGAAGGAGTCTTCTCGAGTCTCTTCAGGGACGTCGAATTACTCGACGTATACCGAGAACGCTCGAAAACAAGGGGAAAGCCATTATCAAACAATTGCTCTACAAAGACGTGGCTTCTCCGTTTCCCCGTGTACGTCAGTCCGGGCATAGTCGTGTCACGATCGAAATCCGCGGGATCTCGTGTCGTCCACGGTTCAACTAATCCTTCCATGTTGAAACTTTCGAATCCGTAGACGGCGGAAAGGAAAAGGTGACCGATTAAACCGGCCTTGGGCGTTGGATTACGCGAGTCTCGTCGATTGACCGTGATTAGAGGTATCGGCTCGCGTTCCAACCACCTCGGACGAACGAAGCCCGAACGAAACCCGAACCAAGACACGAACGAAGACCAAACCTAGAAGAGGAGAAAAAAGAAAAACAAACCGAACGAAACGAAATTTCCGTGTATCCCCGCGAATGGTACGACGCGTTCCACGGTTAAGAAATAAACAATCGAAATTCTTAGAACCTTTTCGCGTGGAAGCATCGGAAGTCGACGGCTGAGGTAAACAGAGCGGTCGTAGAATCGAAATTTCGCGAAGAGAAGCGAGCGGGGGACAGTGACGCGTCGCGAGCGTAATCGTTTCCGCGCGGCGGCCAGTGAATGACGCGAGTGGGACCTGATAAGGCAGCAAAGGGGGTGTGCGAGCGAACGGCGATGACGAGTATCGAATTGTCAGGGCGTCGCGATAAAGAGTTGGCCACGATAATAGAAGCCGGCCGGAGATCGTCGCGTGGCTAAGCAGACACTGGTTAGGCGGTATGTCGCGGAAGTAGGTTTTCTTTCTTCCGGCTGCTGCTGGAGAAGAGACGAACAAGTGGCACCGAAGAGGACGATGATGTCTAGACAAAGCAAAGACCCCGTGCAGAAGTGCCACTCGGACCCGGGTGCTGCGAGTACCGGCGGTACTCCTTGCAGCCCTGGTAAGCGAATTTCTCGCAGACTGGTGCCAGGCATTCCGAGCTCCTCCAACACGCGCAAGTGTGTTCTCACCTTGGACGGGTATAGCTATGTGATCGGTGAGTACGGAACCTCGATAAGATCCAAACTCCTATCGTCCAGCCGGGGGTGGTAAGGGTCGCTGGAAAAAGAGAGAAAGGAAGCAGCTCGGCTTATCTTCCGTTCTCGATGGGGTGGCGCGTACAAAGTATTATCGTCGTTATATTATACGACCCCCGTTGGGGTTAACACCCCTTGTTCTACTCGCAATCTTCCCATTTTTTCTCCATCGCTGATACGGCCACGAAAAGTCTCGAGTTCGATCGGACAATCGATAGACGATCATCCGGAATTTTCTCCTATTCCAAATCTCCCCGGGACCAAAGTTCTCGGTAAACCGACGCGTGACAGTCCTGGGTCGCCGAGATCATCATTTTTCCTACATTGGCAAAGCTTCTTCTTCTTTATTGCCGTATTCCGTGCCATCGACGTTCCTCTATGAGGCTCGTTTGCAAAAATAATCAAAAGTTTACCACTCGCTCGAGGTTCACGCGAGGGCGTCTCTGGCGGTTTCGCTTCTACGGCTAATTATTCTTTTTCCGCAGCGAGCACGTTCCGGCTGCCGCCGCGACGTCAGCCTCGTGATTCCAACGACCCCGTAAATTGCGTGTTCTCGCGTATACCTAACCGCGTTGCACCCCACCTTTAACCCTAATTAAGCGTGCAGAGGAATACGCGTGCACAGGCGCGAAGTTGAAAAGAGACACGGCGACTCCGAAATGAAGAAAGGGGAACAAATGGAAATGAAAATAAAACTGGAAATAAAAATGAAAGGGAAGAAGGAAAATACTGGGCGAGCTTAATTAATCGAGAGACGCGCCACCGGCTGAGTAGAGACGCGCCAACACCTATGAATTACTCGCAGCGTGTTCGCGCCTGGATTTCGCATTGAGTCGCGTAGCGAACACGGTCCATTCGTTATCATCGACCGGGTAATCCGTTGTTGGACGAACCCCCAGTGTCACTACGCGTATTTCGACATTATATCCGCGGAACTTTGGTCGATTTGAAAATTCGTGCGAAATAATTACTTACCCGAATTCGTATTCGCTTTTAAATCCGCAGCTAATGGTTCCGAAGCATCGAATCGATTTTGCGGCAAGCTTATCGTTAGTATTTCCTGCACGCGTTGATTAGCTTCCTATCGTTTCCTGCAACCTTGTAATATCTGCGTCGATTTTTATGCCAGCCCGTGTCCAATCCGATAACCGAGCGTTTATTTATCAAACGAACGAAATTTAATATCGACGCACATGGAATCCGGAATAAGAAATTATTAGTACTTGTTACTCTTTCGATACTCTTCGATGTTTAATAATTATTTCGTGCATCTCGCGTCCTTTGTTCCATCGGATACATCTTTGCCTCGGTTTTAACGATATTCGCGTTGAAATTTCATTAACTACGAACAAATAATACACAGCTTTCGGTATTTATCTCGTGAATCCTATTATTCGGTTGCAAAAGTCAAGTTATCCCAGGATATTTCCACGAAGCGAGGTAATAATTCCATCTCGTCGTTTAATCGAATAAACATGCCCTTATCGAGCGCACGCGCTTCACGCATAATTCACAGCCAACGTTTAGATTTATTCCGATGTTTTCCCATGTTCGCGGTCGTTCCCGAAATTTTTCTTCCGTTATCCGTAAACAGAGCGGATAAACAGGAATATCCGAACGCAATCGGCACGTTCGAACTTTTTCGCTCTTCGTCATCCGCTCTTGGGGGCGCGTCAGAGTTGAAATACGACCGACTGTGAAAGCAGAATGCTCGTAATTTTTGGCAAGATTCGTGGCGCGGGGTGTAACTCGCGGCGAAGGGGTGGCGAATCACGGCGTATCTCGGGAAGAAGGAAACGCGGCATTAATGTCACCGTGTCGACGCAGCTTAGGCCAACCCTCGAGCCCGGGTGGAAACTGCCATTGTAACGGAACGAAGCATTCTTTCTCGGTTGGAATCTATCGGAGACGAGCAGAAGGCTCGTTCGTCGCGTTCTTAATTCGCTTAGAGTTCATTTACATTGAACTTTGTGTTCGAAGCAAATCTATTTACGACGCGCGCGCAGCCATGTCGCTGCGATGGTAACAACGTTCCCTCGACTACGACCACGACGATGAACTGCACGTGTTCCTCGTTAAAACAGAAGGACAAAAAGGAGAAAGAAGGAAGGTGAAAGAGGGGAGAGAAAACAAGCGAGAAGAGGCCGAGACGGGAAACGCGAGATAAAGGAGAAAAAGGAAGAAAGGGAGGAGAGGGGTGGAAGAGACATTTGCATCGCGTGCTACGTACCGGGCGAGAAATTACGAGGAAATATTTTCAAGAACCTACTCCGTGCACGAAATTACGAATCGCCTGAAACGAAGCGATTTTATCATTTCTACGCGCGTTAGTGCGTTTCGAAATTAGCTCGTCGCAGTTTTCTAATACTCTTCAATCTCTTATCACGTCTCGGACACGTTCGCTTCGCGATCGTCCCGTGATCCATGCGTTCTCAACGACCTGTCTGTCTTCGCGTTAATCCTCGAAGAAATCAACCCTTACGTTATCTAGCTGTTGCCTAATTAACAGAAGCTCTAACTATAAACATCGAATAGATGCCTGTGTTTGAAAAGTACGAAAATTTTTAAAGACCATGGTATATACAAAGTGGCCAAAATCTTCGTCACTTTGGCACGTGGAATATTTATCTATTTATTTGACTTGTCAGTCTCCATTTAATTGTCGCTCGTGGTAAAATCACAATTATTTGCTCGGAGAATGATAGAAAAGTTATAAATAAAAATAGAAGTGGAATGTGGAGCAAGATTTTGGGTATCTTCGATTTAGAGTGAGCATAATTTTCAAAGGGTTGTACAAAATATGACGATTGAAAAGCTATTTTATACCTAGTAGCCGATATTTAAGTTTTGCACGAAAACAAGATTGTCAGAATTAACTATAGATTCGGCTACAGCAGAAAATAATGAATTAAAATAGCAGATAACAGTGTATTTGTTTCACGTGGGAACTTTCTCCTTAGCAGTTTATCAAGTTAGGAGTTGGCGAGGACCAGATGCTTAGGAAGTCGACGCGTTATCCCTTGGCTCATGGCTACCGGAGGTGACAAGTTAGATAAATAAATTGCACTGTCGCCATCTAATTGGTCCATTCGGCTAAAATACGAAGGACAATTTTAACACCACTGACCCCAAGACATTTCACTCCTGGGCTTTTTCTGCTCGACATGGGCTAATACCACACATCCAGCGAAATTCCCAGGCTTTGTATACCATCCACAGTAAAGGGAAGTAAAACAAACTATGTAAGACAAAACGATCGATGTAACATCTATCGATACGAATTTTCGTTTCACCATCGATCCACGATTTATCTCGTAAAATATCACCAACTTTATCTTTGAATTCTAGTGAAAAATTAAATATAGCTAGATTTTATTCCTGTTACGGTATTCGTAGAATTAATTTAAAAACAGTGTCCTTCGAATCATAGGTATTCGATGATCCTACGGTATTCATAGTCTCAGCAACGATAATCTCATCGACTCTCAGCTTCTTCTCGATCTTACCCCTCTTCTGCTTCCGTGGTAAATCTGCTCGGAATCCTCATGAATCTGGCAAACGTCATTGTACATTTAAAAGCCAATTGTACCGAGACTCGAGTACCGTGTGTCATTTATTTCACGTTTTTTCGGATTCCTCCATTTTCCCTGGCGACGTTTCTTTCTTCGTTTCTTCCTTTTCTCCGACGAGAGTTCACCGTTGGCGCCACTGGAAATCCAGACGAAGCACTTCGCTGCGGATAAGCAACGCGCGAGTCCGTCAAGGATGCTGCTAAATTACGTGCACGAATTTACTAATGGCCCATCGAGCAATGCTTCACTGGTTTCTTCTCGCGACAAAATCTTCCATCATGTAGCGGATTTCGCTTCGAAAGAATCGAATCGTAAATTAATAATAAAGAATATTAATTCGCGATAAAATAATACGAGAAACGAACGTTAAGCTAGGAATATTCGGAGACAATCGTGAACCAGGAAATTACATGGGATTTTGAAAATGCATGGAAAATTGAACGTTAACAGATTTCTTCGTAGTACGCCAATTTTTTGAAAGGTTTTGCAATCAGAGTCTATCAGGTTCTTTTGTTATGTTTATATTTAAATTCTATAAGTGAACCCTCGTCGTGGAGAATAGGGTGGAAGTCGATGGGGATAAGGTCTGGGCAATAGGGAGAATGAAGTATCATAGAAACTTGTTCACGGAATCCCTTTCACGAAAGCGGAAGAGGGAAAGAAGTTGGTCGGTATTGAAAAGGTTGTACCGTGGTTCTAGAGTTATACTCGTAAATCTAAATGTCGTCACCGATGATAAGACTCATCGATTCACGATGTCGATATAAATTATGACGAATTTTCGTATCCCCTGCATTACTTAACATTACGTACATTACGTGATATCGAAACTCAGGGTATCGTTAACGAGCGATATTTGTCTCACAATTTTAATTTCAGATCGCTCGTTTATTACGAAAAATTGATTACCCAAATTGATCATAGGATAGAAAAGGCGAGCAGGTAACTAACGGATCTTTTTCATCCGAGCCACAACCTTCTATCGATTTCTTTTAACGAAGTCTTCGTCGACAAAGACGCGTCCATTATCTTACATCTTCCATAATCCTTGGAACCCACTTTCGCGTTCGCATCCTAGAGACCTTTCGTTAAAAAGCTTCCCAACTTCGAGAAAAATACGAAAGATCTACGAGATGCATATTTCCTCGTTCCAATCCCCCGTAAAGTGTCCATTTTTAATCCAAAGAGTCCAATGAGAGTTGAATTAAGGGAATCGATTAACGCGTTCGCCTCATTAAAGATGGTTCATCCGCGATTAAACGACGGGGTTCGTTATTAGTCGAATTATCGACGTTTCACAAACCTTTTTCCATAGTTCTTTCCTCGCGAGTTACTTTATTCGCGAATGTCGCGTCGCCTTTCCTCGAACACGAATTTCAGCTCGCGAC